CGATCCATCATGTATTGAGTTTTTTTGCTATATGTAAGAAGAATATTTTTCTGACTAAACATGAAATGTTATCATGATGACTTAAAAATGTAGGATGTAGTTTCTCTGAGGTGGCAGTGAGGTTGCAGATATTTCCCCCCTTCTTTTTCAAGTGTGTTTACAATGGGGGGAAAGCGTAAAGACGCAAAAGGCCCTCTGTAGATTTTGGTTTGCCCATTCTGAGCTACTGGATGAACATAGAAATGCATAATAGCAGAGCCAGGAGGACCTGCTACCTATACACATACATTCAGTGAACAGCCACTATGGGCTGGCTCAAAAAGGGAGGCAGCCCCCCTCCAATGTTAAAATGCCCAACTTTCCAGCGGAAATAAAGATGTACAAAAAAGGTTTTCTTCTTGGTTTCTAATTGCCTTGGTTTCCCCAAAAGTGCACCCTGATTATGGCTCTGCCACTCTACAAATATTTAGATGAGTCAAATCCTTGTTGCAAACGTGTTGTTAACTGTTCTTGCTTTAGCTTCCTGCAGCATATACTCATGGACACTCGCTCGACAACACGTTTCTCTTCAAACAATATGGGCTAATGTGGTCATTTATGGATGTAACTTAAAAGCAGTCTTGGCCATTTTTTGTTAAAAATTGTTGTTTTACGGGCATCAAAGCTTGTGGTAGCAGAGCATTTTACAAGTTGTCACAATGGCAATGGGACCAGGTGTTTCCCACCCTCTGATTGTTGTTTTTCTTTTGTTGCACGTTTTATTACTTGGTAGCCAAATGTTCCAGGGACAGGACCAAAAAGCTGCCAGGTAAATTCTCCAACCTGCAGGTAACCAGGACAATTAACCCTCTACTGCTCAAACTGCTCTGTGCATATGTCGTTTTATAGGGCCACTCCCCGGTGTACATGTGTGCACATGTGCACATATGCAATGTGAAGTAAAAGAGCGCAGATAGTGAACTCAAGGTTTGTCTGCTGTTGTATTTTTATTTTTGAAATGTGCTGCTGAGTCCAAAACTAAGTTCTTGATTGTTTTGAGGAATCAGTCATATAATGAGACGAGCCACTTCATCCAAATATAAAGGAACATCTAAGAAATGCTCTAAATGACAACCAACACAGGCATTGAGAGCTGAGAGGAAACATCTATGTTTCCAGCCACTAAATAAGTACACAGTCAGTGGCACTCTTTATTTTCCAGATCTACCATATGGAAGAGCGTACACATACCAGAACATCGCTGCTCTCTTTTATCATCCATAGTCTTTATCATTCGACCCATTTGAACAGACATTACCCAATATTCATCTCTCCATTACCTTATCTGGATAACCTAATCATCTGTGCATTACAGCAACACCTATGCAGTTAGTCAGTTTGTCATATAAAACTCGGCTTGTCATCATGTCTGCTAAATAAATGTAACTTTATATCTTATTTAGATAAAGTTATAAATAAAAACAGCCTCTTTTAAAGTTTCACTTATAACAAATCATCATCCAACACTTTAGCTTTAAAAAAGGAGCTTTTTGGCCTCATTAAGCCTTGTGTTTCAGTTTCACAGTGCACAAATGTACTGTATTTCACCACTCATCTCAAACCTTTTTTTCAGCAGCAGGCAAATGTGTTGAGCAAACAAGATTTAGCAAACCAAACGGAGGCTGCCCAGAATTGCATGTACAAACTAAAGGCCCTGACACACCAAACCAACATCAAATAACTAGTATTGACAGAGCTGACATTTAAACACAACACAAAGACAATGGCCAGCAATCGCATACATTCTGCACCTCCGTAAGGGGGAGTAACTACATAACATCAGGAGCCTGAAGAAGTAGAACTATGGGTGTAGTCGTTGTTATGCTACGTACATTAAAACTTGTTCACATGATTTGAACTCACCACTTGCATTCCAGGCCATGTTGCTTCACTGAAACTGAACAACCAATCAGAGTGTTTTATTAGCTAAAAGTGCATACAACGCAGGACACACCAAAAAACATGGCTGACATCCCATAAGGGGTTTGGTGTGTCGAGGGGCCTTAAGTTAGATGCTAAACTGGTCAAGAACGTCAAGCATGTAAGAACTAGAGAAAATGTATTAAATCACATCTAGCCACCAACCTGGAAAGGTAGCCTAATTTTGGATTTACATACAGCAGTTGCAGAAAGACAGTTCCATAGAAATGCTTATGAGGGTCTGCAGGATGTGAAAATATTTAGAAAAGACAATTATAAAAGGGTCAGAATTTATCAAGGCTGTGAGTTCATGAGCTTGTTGGGGAGTTATTTTGCCTCGAATAACCAAAATAAAAATACAAAAATTAATGCAGCTTTACAGCGTCAAAACAATTAAATGATGCATAACTACAAAGTGCTACAGAGAAGCAGATCTTGAATGATCTTGTGCATGTGTGATCATAGTTGTGGACAATTTGCAAAGCCACTGCAAAATTGGCGACCCTACAAAATGCACTCTGCAAAATCAGCCCCCATGCATGCAACTTAACCCTTGAACTGGAAAGGACCATGAGCAGGCAGCATGTGTAATGGAGGACTCCATTTAAAGCGAAGAAGTCAGGAGAGCTCAACAGGGGGAGGGGGCTTCAATAAGAGCCTCTCTTCCTGACAGCCACACACTGCAGTGGGGGAGGGTTGAAAACACCAAGCCCTCTTCTTGAAACTGCAGCAATGGGCATAATGGGATGGATCCTTCCATTCCAGCTATGTGATACTTATTTTAGAGAGCTGTTTGAAAGAACATCAAGTTGAACAACTCAAAATCTGTAGCCTCTAAAAGACAAGCTGTTCTGACACACAGAGAAAGAGAAAGGTAAGCCAGCATTGAACTGACTGCCCTGTTGATCCAAACAACAAGCATTTGTACTCCATCCAAACACACTCAGATGTAGTAATTTCCCCTCCCCTGGTGACAGGGCTAAAACTACACACCCCAACCCTCTGCTCTGATTGGTGATACGTTGTTGTGCAAACTGCGAATGATAAATCAGGAAACAGGTTTTTCTGGAAAGAAGATTAAAGTATTGGCACAGAGCTCGACAGAACATGCCACAACCGCCGCTTGTTGTAAAAGTTCTTAAACACAAGTGTTAGTTCTGTTTGTTTATTGTACCAAAGCAAACACATCAAGTCAACCCAATTTTTCACCTCTGTCAACAAGAATTAAGCCAACTGGGACAATCCGAGTTAAGAAATATCTATAATCTGTGCCCTGACTTAGTTGTGTAGATTTTACCTGTTAACATATTCAAAATGACACTCAAACAAGCAATTAGCAGCTTGCTATTTTGTGCAAGTGTCTGATCCTGACCAAAATCCTGATTTAGCATTACCAAACAGGCTCCGAGGATTAGGTGCGGACTCTCCAAAGAGTGGCATATAAGCAAGGCCTCTTACCAACATATTTGCCCTGCTACAGGCACACATGGTTTCAGTTAGGGGTCTGCACCTATAAACAGTGGGCTATGGTAGCTTATTGGTCAGGAAGTGCAATGTTGACTGCAAGTCAAGACAGGCACAAGCTGCTAATGAATGATATACACCCTTACAGTGTAGCTTTGACAGCACCGTTTAGATTGGAGGTGTTCAGAGGGCGACAGAAAAGGGACTCTGAGCTCTTTCGAGTCAAATAAGAAAAGACAGTCGGATAAGATGTACTTGCCATACAGCACAACCAATGTTTTGCATATTTTAACTGGTGGCTGCTGTTAATATTAACATAACACTTTGCCAGTGTAGACCACCACAAATTACCTATCATCAAAGTATGTGTTTTATATCTGCATGATTAAATGTAACTGAGACTGCATGAAAACAAGCAATAAGACAAGGCAATGGCAGAGATATACCTACCTTGAAACTGAAGTTTGCTAAAATGACTTAACCATGTTCTGTCAAAACTATGAAACAACTACCATGTCTCTTGGTTTCCAATAATGTTGGCTCACAAACAAATATACATCTTAAAGAATTGCTCAAAATGTGCAACCTGTGCCAACAGCTATATTGGCCTCACAAGAATAAACAGGTTAGAAAAGTGTAAATCATGACAGGTTAGAGAAGCTCGTGATGAACATCTCTCATCTTAACTGAAACAAGAATACAAACAAGTACTGAGCTGTCAAAGGCCCAGACCCACCCCCTATTAAGTTTCCATCCCAAATAAAACCAACCAGGAACATCATATCCAGGAGGAAAATGTCAGAAAGCACCAAACTGGCCATCAGCAGATTACATAAAACTACCGAACTCAGACTGCAGTTGTGTATATATCATTAGTTTAACTTACTCACTGTAATGTAACTATTGTGCTATATTTGCTTCGTGGTAACTTTAAAACAGACAGCAATCATTTAGCGAAGCTTAGAGGAAGATTGCCTTGTGTATCATTCGCTGACACAAAACTGTTACAAAATGGAAGGTTGCTTAAACAAACACACAGTTTCAGTGTTATATTAAAGGAATCAACAACTAAATGAGGTGTACCAGCTGTATTCTGAAGCTTGGTGGATAAGGCGGTTCAGTGAAGCTTTCCTGATTTAACATTTCCATCCACGACGTTTCAGAGAGCTCGATGGAAAAAGTATCCCAACATGGTCTACAGAGAATATAGCGTCAGGCAGTGTTTGCTAAGATAAAAGGCACATGATATATAACGTTATTCACAGATATCCACATTAAAGCGGCCTGAAAATATTTTCTTTTAAACTTCAGACAGAGGTCTGCCAACTCGGCCGAGACGGCAACAGCCTCCAAACAAGTTAGCCAACTGAGCTAACGCAGCTAGCTGCTAGCTCCAGACAAAAACTTTTTCTACATCTGAAAAGTTTCACTTTATAACCGAGAGGGACGGTGTTAAAAAGCTCTTATCGCACAGGGCGCTCTGATGCTTTTTATTTCACAGTACCGCTGTTTAACGGCTTGCTCCCGGCTGTGGAGCACGGGGCAGAGCCTGAAGCGAGTCCACTTCATGTAGTTACCTTTCCGTCTCCGCTGCCGCCGCCGCTCCCCAGGCCGCCTTCAACACCCGACACCGCCGCCGGACCTCCAGAGGGCCGCGGAGCTGGGACAGTCGAAGCCGAGAGGAGTCCAGCTACTACCAGGGAGATGAAGAGCCAACTGCACCGAGGCTCCGGGCCTTGTGTGTCCTCGAAACAGCGTTAATGAAGGGATACCTGGCCCCAGCTCTCCGCCGTTTGATAGAGAATAGGGAATCACTTTTTGACAGCTCCTCTTCTTCAGCCCCCCCTCCCCTCGACAGCCCTTCACTTTTCTCTTTTTCCTCACTTCCAGCAGATACGAATCAAAATACTGTCACAGAATATGGCGGCTGCATAAGGAAGCTGCTATCGCGAGAAGGAGAGCTGCTTTCTCTTTTTTTCACTTTCCAAAAGTTGCGCTGAGGGAGGAGAGAGTGCTGCCGCTGCAGGAGATGCAGGCTGAGGACAACAGAACAAGAGTTTCTGCAGGAAACGGTGCAGGAGAAGTGGGATTGGGATAGATATGAATGAAGTGTCTGCTGTGGTCTGACTATAGGATAATGACATGTCAATAATATATTGATATTGTTTTATGTTACCATTCCTTCTAGACCAAGCCCTGATTTATTTAATGATATGCCTTAGTAGCCTACATTTTTACAGCGGGAAGTGGCAAATGTAGTTTTTACACCATGTTATTCACAATGTCATGATTTCACTACAAAACCTGCTGCTGGTGAGTGTGTACAACTCTTCAGGAATTAACAACAACATGTGTTTCCCTAAACCAGAGACAGAGACAAGCTGAAAGACACCTATCATGCATCTATTATAAACAATTAAAACAATTCCCAAAATTGGGATCAATAAAGTACATCACTCTGTGTGACTCCCCAGTCACTGCCGTGGAGTCTTTCCGCTTCCTGGGCACCATCATCGCCCAGGACCTCATCAAAAAAGCACAGCAGAGGATGTTCTTCCTGAGGCATTTGAAGAAATTCAACCTGCCAAAGACGATGATGGTGAACTTCTACACCTCCATCATGGAGTCCATCCTCACCTCCTCCATCACCATCTGGTACGCTGCAGCTACAGCCAAGGATAAGGGCAGGCTGCAGCGTGTCATCCACTCTGCAGAGAAGGTGATCGGCTGCAATCTGCCATCCCTCCACGACCTGCACGCCTCCAGGACCCTGAGGCGGGCAGGGAAGATAGTGGCCGAACCCTCCCACCCTGGACACAAACTGTTCACCCCCCTCTCCTCCAGCAGGAGGCTGCGCTCCATCAGGACCAAAACCTCCCTCCATCAGGACCAAAACCTCTCTCCACCTGAACAGTTTCTTCCCCTCCGCTACCGGCCTCTTAAACAAGGCCCGGCCCCCCACTGACACTTTACCTCAGCCACAACGCAGACTCTATGCATTACATTAATGCACACAATGTTGACAATATCAGTTTTTTTTACTACAAATATTTGTATTCCATTCTATTTCAATGTAAATACTGCTTTATTTATCTTTTTATTTTACTATATATTTTTATTTTTTATTTTAATGTTATTATATGAAAATAGTTCTCTATCTGTTTTTTAAAATGGTTGTTTTACTTTTATGTATGCACCACGACACCAAGTCAAATTCCTCGTACGTGTCCACCTACCTGGTAATAAACCCGTTTCTGATTCTGATTCTGATCTTATCTCATCAAAATCAGAAACATGTTTATGGCCATGTAGGTTAACACATACGAGGAATTTGCCTTGGTGTACATGGTGCATTCAAACACAGTTAACAAATATTTAAAAAGTACGATGTGTGTAGACCTCAGCACGGTCTTCAATACCATCGTCCAGTCTCTGCTGCAGGAGTACAGTAGCTCTCCCAGCCGCATGTACCCGACTCCATTTGGACTCCACCTGCAGGTGGATGACAGACTTCCTGTCCAAAAGGAAGCAGCACGTGAAGCTGGGGAAACATGTTTTACACCCCCAGATCATCAGAACTTATTCCCCTCAAGGCTGCTTTCTTTCCTCTCCGCCAAGGTTATTGGCTGAAATCTGCCATCTCTCCACAACCTGTACGCCTCCAGTTACCCTGAGGCGGGCCGGCCCCTCCCACCCTGGACAAAGTTTGACCTGCTCCCTTCTGGAAGGAGGCGGCGGCCCATCAGGACCAAACCTTCTCTTCACAAGAACAGTTTCTCTCCTCTGTTGCTGGCCTCATCAACATGGCCCGGGACCCCCACTGACACTGACTCTTACCCCACTATGCATTACATTAAGTGATTCATCTTGAAAGTGGTCATTCTAAACTAAGATGGTGATGGTAAACATTATGCTAAACATCAGTATCTGGTGGTAGCATTTAAATCAGAGCGCCACTGTCACTACGTATAGACTCACAGAGCAGCTGGCATGACACACACAGCTCCAACCACTTTGTCAAGTTTGCGGATGACACAACCGTGGTGGGTCTCATCGACGAGACCCACTACAGGAAGGAGGTGAACCAGCTGGCCACGTGGTGTATAAACAACAATCTCTTCCTTAATGTGGAGAAAACAAAGGAGATTGTTGTCGACTTCAGGAGAACCTCAACCCAACACCCCCACCCCCTGACAATCAATGATGCTGCAGTAGAGCAGGTGAGCTGCACCAAATTCCTGGGGGTGCACATCACTGAGGACCTCTTCTGGAGCAACAACACCACGGCACTCGCCAAGAAAGCCCAGCAGCGCCTCTACTTCGTCCACAAACTGAAGAGAGCAGGAGCCCCCCCCCCATCATGCTCTCCTTCTACCGAGGCGCCATCGAGAGCATCCTCAGCAGCTACATCACGGTGTGGTTCGGAAGCTGCACAGCATCCAACCGCAAGACCCTGCAGCGCATTGTGAACACTGCTGAGAGGATCATCAGTGCCTCACTCCCGTCACTCCTTGACCTCTACAACACCCACCTCACTCAGCATGGTGGGTGACCCCACCCATCCCTCCACCTGCCCCTTCACCCTCCTGCCTTCAGCGAGGAGGTTCCGCAGCCTGAGGTCGAGCACAACCGAAAAACACCTTCGTCCACCAGGCTGTCAGGAGGCTGAATTCTCTCCCTCTCTCCCCCCTCTCCCCTCCCTCCCCTCTCCCCCCCCCTCTCCCCTCCCTCCCCTCTCTCCCCTCTCTCCCCTCCCTCCCCTCTCTCCCCTCTCTCCCCTCTCCCCCTCTCCCCTCTCTCCCTTATCTCACCTCTATCTCACCTCTCCACCTTGCTCCCACTGGACCGGGACTTTAACACCCCCCCACACACACAGACACAACAAATCCAGCACCAATCACTTTTTACGCTGCTATGGAAAATATTTTGCACTCTCATTTGTACTATGTACATCATCTTTTTTATATATATATATCCTGCTTACTTTTGAAGCAAACGGTTATTTTGTGTTTTTTTGTAATTATTGAGTGTTCTTGAATTTGAATGTGTTATTTTATACCTCGGGACTGTGAGAAACAGTATTTCGATCTTTCTGTGTGTACAAACATATTTTGAGATTGACAATAAAGTTGACTTTGACTTTGATGACTGTTAGTCTTTTTATGTATTTGATACATTTACCACTCCATGACAACTGAGCAAACCAATATATATCAACTAATAGAGACCATGAGATGCAGTTGAAAGCAACAAAGAAAGAAGCAAGCAAGTGGACTATTTAATTATTCTTGTACATTTTCTTTGAAAGGTTCTGAAGATCAAGCATTAACTTTCTAAATCAATTTCGCATTTGTTTTATGTTTTAATTTGTCTTACATTTTACATTTAAAATACACATTCTTACAGTTTTGCAGAGAATGTAGATCTACCATTATGACCACTTGTTAAAATAATGAAAGCCCTACAACAGTGGAATTTGTATTTCATAAAATAAATAAATGTTTGATAATACATTGCTGTGCTGCTTTTCATGTCACATGATCGAAATGCTTTCATGTGTCACGTCTCTAAGAAGGAACCCTCCGATTTCCTCTTTCTGCACCCACCTTATAAATGAGATTATTAATTAATTAATTCAATGTGGACATCATAAACATTTATTTATTTTTCGACTACACAATAGATGTAGACCTTACTGCTTCTGGCTGCATTGACCCACACATGGGCTGTGTGAAAAACAGACGCTTGTGGGAGCTCTCAGGAAGAGGACAGTGCATTGGTTCTTCAGCGTACTGGGTGGAAACATATGCCACCTCGTGTGTCGGCGTAATGCAGTGACTCACACACACAGTCAAACACACAAATTGTGGACCCTAATATCTCGCACAGACCCTGACCCCTTGACTCTTGGTTTGAAGCCGAGAGCTGAAATCCCCTATAGTGCTATCAGCAAAGTGAAAGCAGCCTGTTATAAATCAGCAAAAACATAACAAAAATCAAAAGCAGTTCTCAAGAATTTCTAAGTTCTTAAATTTGTGTATGTGGTTGCATTCTATTCCTTCTCCAGTTTTGGTTTAATTTCAAACACACCATACCAGCTCACACCCCTGTGGATCTGCTGCATATAGACACATATTACAAGAATGTAAGGTACGGCCTGACGCAATATTAGCATGAACAGCAGCAGCCTAAGAGAAATCAGAAAGAAAAACGTGCTCCTGCACTCTGGAGCTGTAACCGGCCACACGCCTCACACAGGCTTTCTGGAGCAACAAGGCCGGCCACCCACATTCTTGGCATGGAAAGAGGCCTGTTTCTCACGGTCTGAGGACAGCTTGTCATGGGTCAGCAGTTTAGATTTTGCTCTGCAGTGGGTCTCTAGTCATTATTCCTCTCTTAAGCAAATGTGTGTGCTTGTCCACTTGCCGGTTAATGCAGCCGCTCCAGTGCTAACACACTCGACGTAGTTTTGTTACGGACTGGGGAACAGAGAGCAGGAAGTTATTCTAAAAGTGACAAATCAAAGTACTTATTTTATTATCAGGCCCAACTTAAACAGAAATGCTAACCTCACATGAACTGTATGATAATAAATGTACCGATAGGCCTTCAGGCCCCTCCAGGGCAACACAATTTAGATCCAGATCCAGAGTTGTGATGTAACATGTTGTTGTCTTGGGGATAAACTACATGTAAGTTGGTGTATTTTAAAAGAAACATGTGAACATATGAGTGGAGATTTTCTTTTTTTGTCACATACAATATGTATATTTTAATAATGTATTAATAAGTTTAATGATATAGAAAATATCAAAACTGTTTCCTCATGTCAATTTTACAATTTCACCTTAGGAAGATTTTAAATTGAGTGACACATTGTCTATAACAAAATGTTTGAGATTCAAAGTCAGTGCAGGCGTTACTCTCCATGCTGTGAAAGCTGAACCAGCATGGAGAAATTAGTGTACTGTCCGTGCATAATTTAAAATCATATCATAAT